TACGCGGTCTAGCCTTATTGGGCTATCTGTGCTACCAGCTTTGTGGTTGGCCCGTGTGTCTTTATAAGTTTAAAACATTAAGAGAAATTTCACGAATAATAATAAAAGATCGCTAGCTTCGTAAAACTTTCATCGTAGGTTGTAAAGAAATAATAACAATCGAGTAACCAAAATTTTTTCCATATAGTAGGAAGGTGTACGGACTGGGTGTACAGTTGCTGAATTAGCAGTAATTTCAGAAATTTATAAGTAATACGAAAATTCAGTGATTTACATCCAATACAGGGGGTCACGAGAGTGAGGCCATATTGTATGTAAATAAAAGCTAAAAGAGAGATTCTCTCAGAAAAAAAAGCCTGGCTTCCAGCCAGCCATCTGCACGCAGTAGATATGCAGCGCAGCGAGCTAGGCAACGGCTGGGCAGGCACCAGAGCCTCCATGGCAGCCCAGCTAATCTGGGCTGTCATGACTAGTCTAAGCTATAATACCAGGTATGGCCAACGATACCAGGAATCCAGGGATTCCGGTATCAATAAGAAAGTGAAAAAATGTCATTTTTTCCGTTTCTATCGAGCACTACTCGCATACGTGGATGCGGCTCCGCTTTTCATCGGCAACTTCCGAATGATCCCTGGCCTCCCGCGACGACATCGCATCAAGTGGTCGAACAAAACAACATCCATCGCTCAAACTGGGTTTCCGACTTACAAAATTCCCCTGCCTTTCGTGTCAACTTTTGCAAATCAATGTGCTTCACTATGTTGCAAAGCTGCGTTCATGTCTGCACTTGCAGTCTGTGGACCAGAAATGAGCTCACTGCCGAAGTTCTCGACAGCATCAGTCATCGAACCTTAAGTTGTTTACTCTCATGTCGCTCATTCCTCGACCACTACACCTGACCAAAGGTTTCTCAACTGCTGACATATAACTTGGCATACACCACATCCTTCATGAATGGCCATCCTTGGTTGTACGGCTGCTTCTCCTCGAATGTTTCCAACACCCCGACGAAAGTAATCCACAGCCTGTCGGGATCACCGAGGGGGACCAGGATTTTGAGAATATTTATTCAGTCTGGTAGAGTTCTTCCAGTATCGAGCGATCTGCTTCGGCTGGTTAATATTCCCCGCTCCTCTTTTCTTCCGATAAAGCTCACCGTCATTCAGACATCTCGACCGGTTAATTTTGTTGGAGATGCCTTCATCTGAATCCGCTTTCCCGCAAACCGACGGGCCTGATTGCGTTTCACAAGCTGTAACGGCCTAGTAGCCTCGCGATCCTGCCCTTAAATTCACCGATAAACAACTGATTTAATGGATTACCCTCAGACCGGTAGTTTACTAAAGGTTAGTAAGTACATTTAGTACCGTTCAACTTCGCCTTGCAAGTTCGATGCTGGTGACCTTCATGTTACTCTTTTTTGTCGTGATGCCCTCTCGAGTGCTTCCGAGACGCTCTACCTCACTGTTTTGCTTTTATCGTGTTGGATCGTCGTCGTTTAAATTCTTCACCAAGTCGGCGTTGACGCTGGCATTACTATCTGATCCTTTTAACCCGCAACTTTGGGTTGAAAAATTAACGATGATCTACAACAAACTTCGTTCCCATCAAGCTGTGGGTATCTCATGAGACCTGTCAAACACTTCGGCTTTCACCGGTCAGACCTGGAACTCGCATATACCTGTCGTGAAATGAAGTTCGGCCCTCGGATTTAAACGAGCAAATTGACGGTCAGTCTGGCACTGCATCCCCGATCAAAAATCACGGTGAGACATCGGAAAGTACTAGGTACTTGCTCAATAATATTTGAAATTGCGGGTGGTTTGGGATGAACGCAAATTTCCGCCTCTCTTCCAAGCTGAAGGTCACTTCAGCGTCAGGCAAGATAACCCTCGCTTTCAACTCAGCTTGACCAATAATTGATAACTTTCCCCTCATCTTATTCTTCCTACTCTCCTTTCTTCTCAGAGACATCTTCCTTTTACTTCTCTCTTCCTCAATCATAATATCTGAATGGGGCTTCTTCTCACATTGTTCGGCGGCTTCCAAGGAGATCAGCTTCCCGGTTCAACTTTGTCGAGTCATCCCAAAGCAATGACGTATCAATACGCAGCGTATCCAAATCCAGCGATCTAGGCCCTCGTCATGCACGATTTGGCCTCGAATTTCTCGAGGACCTTGGTGGCCATACCCACAAGGGCAGTATCAGAAAAGCAAACAATGAGTGCAAAAACCCAGCCCTATTGATAAGCAACGAAGGGCGTTTATTGGAAGTCAAAGCCACAATAGGTACGTCTCGGTTGGATTTGGGATCCACTACCCTTTCCCTTCCCAAGTGGCTTAGTTTTGTTTTCTTTCTGACCCTTGGACTTTTTTCCTACCCAGACTTTCTCCCCTTCGTCAACTTCGAATTCTTTGGAGAGAGTGTTCACTTGCCATTACCAGTCTCACGAGCGGAACTTTGCCTACAATCACCTCCCATCGCGGTTTGGATTCAAGCTCTTGCCGCACTACTCTACCAGTCACTGCCCACCGGCCTTCAACAACGCTTGCTTTTGCGCGGCGTCGACCACTTCCAATCGCAACTCAGCTGGCCACTAGGCGCTCAACTCGAGCTTTCGCAGATAGCATCAACCACCTCGCTTTCCCAAGGTGCAAGAAATAGTAAGTTATTTAAATTCCCTGGTGTTTGATCTTACCAGCCCGGCCCAAGATCCGATATTTGTTGTGCTGTTCGCACAAAATCCAGAAATGGATTCTCCCGTTCCTTCCCTTTCCACGTCAGTTTCCATCTGGAAGCGCTCCTTCCATGTGTCGGCAATAACATTTGCCGCGCACAGGGACGAGACATCGTAAATGAACCCCGCACTCCCAAAATAATCTTCTCGTCGACAAGTTCTGCTCTTCCGTCTGGGTCATTGGACATTTCTCCTTCTTTCCTCTCATGTCTTGTCGTGCATTTACACTACTCCTCCCACCCCAATCCTACCTCCGGCTCAGCGCGTACCTTATTGCCATTAACTTTCGCGATCTGATTCTTCTGACCTTTCTTTTCCGACCTGTCGGCGTGCAAGTAGCGTGCTCACACTTTTCGTAGCAGACCACACAGGCATTTGATCTCGACCAATCCCCCAATGCCGTCCGTCATTAACAACGAAATGGCAACTCACGATGACGAGTCATCGTTGAGTTTCTCAACAGAGTCGTCAATCGGTATGTTTGCTCCTTCTCACTCAGTCAATCCTCGTGTGGGTCGATTACCTTTGCCCGCGACTACATGGCCGCATAGGCTATGGGCTTGGCGTTTCCTCCATGAAAGAGAAGGACAAACCAGAACAGATTTCCTGAGCGAGGACAGTGACCGCAACGAAACGGAGTGGCATCCGGCAGGCTACCAGGTACACAAATGGGAGTGACATCCCTTGAGATGCTAAAGACATCAACACGGGGTGGCACCCGTTAGGATACCAAAACAGGCACATGTCAAATACTCAGCAAGCTCAGACATCTGTTCATCAATGGAAACAAGAAAGGCAATCACGGCGGTCTCAAAGCATTCACGTCAAGCGAGGGTATCAGAAAGGCCTTGTGGGAGAAAGGCAGTTTGCGGAGTGGTGTTTGTTCGAGGAGATTATCACGCTTTTGTGCATACTAACTCTGGCTGTCAAGACTATGGCGGAGGCTCAAACACCCCGTCTGACGCCTCTGAGTTTGGAGGCAACAAAGGCCAGTACAGCAGCGTCACGCCCACTCGTCAGAGCTACCCCAATGGCATCATGACTTCTGCGAACACACCAAAGACGAACATGCTGCGTCGTTCGGTCACCTTCGTAGAGCCGGACCCGCCCGCCAGAGAGCATTCCCGGATCACGTATACCATGGTCAACAACACACCTCCTTCCACGCCGAAAGGTGATACATTCGACGCTCAATACCTTTACCCCCCGAGCGCTTGCGTGTTTGTGGCAAAGTAGGTTATCATCTTTGGAATAACCGCCTTCATCCGCTAACATATTTTGTGGCTCAGCCTCCCCGAAGCTAGGGAGGATGATGATCTTCATGCTGCAGTTACCAAGGAGTTCAGCTGCTTCGGGGTGGTATATGTCAAGATTCGCCGCGACCCCTCCAATATGCCATTTGCCTTCTGCCAGTATACAGTACGTTGATCTTCCTCGTCTCCGTGGAAAGATTTATCTAACACTTTAACAAGGACGAGGACCATGCGAAGGATGCGGTGATCAACGGAAAGGGTATCATGATTCTTGGTCGCCCCTGCCGGACCGAGATGGTTAAAGCGAACCGTAAGTTGTTCCCTTCAAATGTATCCCTTTGGATATCCGCATACTGACGATCACACAGGCACGTACGCAATCAACAGACGTGATTATGGGGACATCACAGTCCATCAAGCCATGCGCGTGCTCGAAGCTTACGGAGAATTGAGCAAGTGCTACTTGCTGCCCACTGAGCGTCAGAAGGCACTCGGGCTTCCTGCCACTGTCATCGCAGCGTTCACGACATTCGACCCAGCTCGCGATATGGGAACTGTATGTATTACACTCCTGTTTGGTTTGCCCTGCTGGGATAAGATGTTAACTCAATTTTTCAGGTTGCCAAGCAGAACCCAGAGTATCGGATTGTACCCTACGATGAGCAGAAGGGCTCGATCACGCCGCCCAGGGACCCCAACAAGGAGTTCCTTAAGCAGTATGAGATTGATCGACAAACCCTCTATGTCGCGCACTTGCCGCGTGATATCGATGAAGCAGAGCTCGGTGAGCTTTTCAGCCAGGCTGGCACGGTCAGAAAGTGCACCATCGTGAGGAAGGACGGCCATTCCTACTATGGTGCCCGTCAGCAGTTCTATGCTTTTGTGGAGTACGAGAACATTGGCGAACCCGATGAAGCTATCAGGCGCTTCGTGAGTATTACTTTCCAGCGTAATCATGAGGTGGCTGCTAACCATTGAGCACAGAGAGGGTATGAGTTGCGCGGCCATCCGCTGAAAGTGGAACGAAAGGCCACGAAGAGTGCTCGTCGCATGGTTTCGTCCCCTGCCTCTTCCGACACATTCAAAGGCGGTCCCCGCACCCCTAACACGCCATCGAGAAGCACATTTGCTCACAGATCTGTCATGCAACGTTCGAGCGTTCCGGAGATGGCGGCTTCAGTTCCACAGCCAACTTCAATGTTGCTAGCCTACCCATCGGAAGGATCTCCCCCTCAGCGCGGGAATGTCCACACAACTCATGGCTTCCATCGCGCGAACGGTATTGCCCTGGATGATTCTGCTATCCAGAATGTGTCAGCAGAGCCGCTTGCTGTCAAGCCGATCAAGTCGATGCCCAATTTCGGTGCACATGGCGCTCAAGGCGATGCCACTTCTGCCAACAACCTCCCCGCTGGTATTCTCCTAGGACCTTCTGCCAGCGTCGTTCCGAGACCCCAGTTTACAGCTCTGCCGCATCCCACAGCTGACGTTAACGGAAGGCCCATCCACCCGATGGAGCCTTTGCCCATCACCTCTTGGGATCAGCCCCAGCCCGGCTACCCACACGTCGGCTATATTCCGGACTGGGATATGCACTCCTACATGACTGGAATGCCCGGCACTGGCCCGATCTTGCCTCCCAATGTCCAGCAGGCTCCTCACGACCTGGTGATGCATAACTGGACTCCTGAGTTCGCGCCGCCCATCCCCCTCGAGTGCGTTCCGCGTGGCTTTGTGCGTTCGCACTTCGCCTACCATCCCATTACGGGACAGCACTGTGCCGTTTGGATCCCCGGCGCTGCGCCGCATCCCTCGGTCTATTGAGGAGATGTGAGCCATCTCGACTGGTCCGTTTTTGCCGACTCTGTTGTCGCTTTAGGGTGTGAGCTTTCCACAGTGCCTACAACACTCGGGGCCTCTCTATTTTGGGTTGACGACTTTGCTGGTATATTTTGATGCTCCAAATCAGTTTCTTTGGAGTTCTCCATGCTGTCTTAAAAGGCATTGGGTTCGGCGTTTTACCTATTGCGTCGTTCTCCCTTGGAGTTGGGCTACAAGGTCATTTGCAGCGACTTGAGCATGTGCTGGTTTCGGCGCTTGGTGGTTATACCCTGGTTCTTTTTCGGTTGGTGTTAGTTTGCAGAATGGTTGGTCTAACCTGGCTGTTTTCGATGATCGTTAGTACGTTTGGGTGGTTGGCGCAGTCTGGTGACAACGTCCGCCTGGATTTGTTTGATTAATGTTGGAGTTAGTAGTTTCAGGTCACACGTGGAGACTGGTTGAATATGGTTGGGAAATGTCGACAATCTCGTGTATTTGGAAGCAGAGGAAGAGTTGGCTTCCGTGTCCTGGTTAAGACTCGTATCTGGTTGTCACATAGCTACTCGACTGCTACCATTTCCACATTATCTGAGATAGTGTCCCAGACCAAATAGATAAAAGAACAAGTCCTTTGTCGCGTAGCAACTGTTCCGTTTAAACACTGCACTCTCCGCACCTCGAGCCTTTTTTCGTTGTTGAGAGAAAGTCAAAGGTGATCATGACCCAGGACGTCATCACAAAATGTTTCAACAGAGTAGTAAAAAGCTATGCTCGTATGTACCGTGACGTGAACAAGGCAAGCGCTGGGGTGGCTGATCTTCATGGTTGCTGATCGAAGTACCTATGCGAGGCAGTATCTCCCAACCGGATGAACCGCCTTGAGCCGCGAAGTTCGTGAGGAAAGTTTACCACTCAGCTAATGCAGAAAGAGAGTTGTATCACCCTCCCTGTCCTCCAGGGATGCCCTGCTTGCACGAATACAAGAGGTGGACAAGCGACACACTCTTCTAACAGTTTTGCTGGTAATTTACGTGCTCTTCTGTTAGTCGCCTATTTCTCGCCCCCACGCACCAAGCCACCTAAACAATCACTTCGACAACCATCATGTTCCAGGCCTATCCCGATGACGACGGCAGTGGTAGAAGAGAAGAGTGGTATTGGACTTGCTGGATAAACCCCCACGGAGCTTCAAAGGTCAAGGACTGATGGGTCCTAGTTTCTACAGGGCTGTCGTTTAGTCGTACGTAAAAACCCCCCTGCTACACGAGTCTCGGTGCACTCTTTCGTGAGAGAATTTAACTTCCCTTTGCCGGAAAATGGAGAGGACAATGAGCCTGTCCAACTTCGATAATAGCGGGAACAGCTATTTGTTAGTTGGTTCGACTTTGATTCGCTGCTTGTCCTAACTTCTTCGTGTGTTTCTGCTTGGGTTCTTATCGAGTTCATCCCGGAACAGGCGTCGATCGTTCCTTCTGCGGAGAAGCCAAACCCGAAAGCCCCACTATCTCGCGTAAAAGAAAAGAGAACATCGACAGCTCAACAACTTTTTCCTACGCAACACCGTCCTCACCAATCGACGAAATCTGTCTGCATTTCGAACAGAATCCTACCAGAACAATGGGACAACCATCCACCGAGGCGTCGAACGCCATCATCTACACTACCTTGGGTGTTTTCCTGTGAGATGACAATCACCAAATCCCGTCCCCATCCAGCTCCATACGGGGGAGCGTTTGTACTGACTCATCGCTTCGCAGTATCATGGGAACGGGTGTTGCCTGGACCTGAGAAACCAAACCAAGGGGGGAGTATCTCGCCGGCAACAGGACTCAGACGGGTTAGAAGACATTCCTGCCATGCCCAGACGAGAGAAATTATCAATTCTCTCTATTCTGCCGAGCCATCGCACCACTCTCCAACACCCTCGTTACCACCCAAAGTGCGTTGAGCTGGGACTAACACCCATGTTTCTCTTTTAGCTATCCCGCTCGCTCTGAACTTCATCGCTTCCGGTGAGTGAGAGCACGCAACGCGACAACGGGGCACTCAACGACGACACTTGAGGCCTCTACTGCAACATGAAGATCAGAGCGGTAGCAATGCACCGAACACAGCATTCCGGCAACAACTAAATTCGATCGATCGAGCCCTTCGAAACTCGATATTAACAATAGAGGCTCAACCCGAGCAAAGAATCGTCGGTGATGAGAGAGGTATAAATTGAGCAGACTGACAGCATAGGTTCGTTCGCACCCAGTTTCCAACCTACTTTTCATCTTCCGAGGTTGTATCCCTCGTGTCTTCGTTTTGGCACCTTCTCCCCAGGTGGTGTCAGGAAGGATACTATGGATATTACTCAAGGTTAGATGAAAGGTTGCGGCTCACTACGGGCGCCGAGTCGAAGGCTTGTTCGTCTGGATCCAACCTCCCGCTCTTTCTATTCCTCGCTTCATACCATCATCTCCTCGGGGGCGATGGTGTTTTCGGGGATGAAGAGGATAAACAGGGAGAAGATCTGGCGACGTGCTGGACGACGAAGCTGAGATTGTACCGTAATTACTCGATCAAGTTAATGCTTGCGTGGGAAACGTGCTGCCGCTCCGATCTACCCCCACCCCAAACTCCCCCCCTTCCCCCTTTTCTCTTGTGGGTGTGAAAAACTAACCCGCGCAGCTCTCGGATCTGGTATGCTGTTCACTTATCCAGAAATTGCCACATTGGCAGGTCTTCAGGGCGTGCTCGTCTACGCTTTGGCTTCCTCACTCCCGCTCTTCGCCTTCGCCTCGTTGGGCCCTATCATCAGGCGCAAATGTCCAGAGGGGTTCGTCCTCACAGAGTGGACTAGACAGCGTTACGGAACCGTCACGGCCTTGTACCTGAGCTTCGTCACGCTTGTTACGCTTTTCCTGTACATGGTTGCCGAATTGTCCTCTATTGGCCAGGTTGTCGAAGTCTTGACTGGCCTTCACGGGTTGCCAGTCATCATTGTCGAATGTGTTATCACGACTATCTACACCTGTACGTGTCTTGAAGCCGACGATTCATCGGATGTGTACTGACGTTGATGTGACCTGCAGCTTTGGGCGGATTCCGAATCTCTTTCATCACCGACAACATTCAGGGAGCAATGGTAGTCGGACTCATTGTCGTCGCAGCTATTGCCATTGGCGTTGAGACCAAGATCGACACCAGCCTCATTGAGCCCTCGGGCCTCTTAAAGGATAACCTCTTGGGTTGGCAGCTTCTTTACATCCTCCCCGTTGCCATCTTGACGAACGACTTCTTTTTGGTAATGTCTCCCCTGTGCGAACAAGAACCAGCCCATGGTCACTTGACTAACACGCAACAGTCCAGCTTCTGGCTTCGTACCTTTGCCTCCAAGACCGACAAGGATCTATGGATCGGCATCTCTCTCGCCGCCCTTATCATCCTCATCATCATTACCATGGTAGGCTGCACTGGTCTCATCGCCGCTTGGTCCGGCATCTGGCCCGGCTCGGACCCGGAAAACCCGCTCCCCGGTTCCGTCGCCTTCTTTGGCCTGCTCGAGAATCTTCCTGCCTGGGTCGTCGGCTTCGTCCTGGTCATGTCGGTCACCCTCAGCACTGCCGCCTTCGACTCCCTTCAGTCCGCCATGGTCTCGACCGCCAGCAACGATTTGTTCCGGAACAAGCTCAACGTGTGGTGGATCCGCGGCGCCGTGGTTCTGGTTATCATCCCCATCGTGGTGATCGCCATCAAGGCGCCCTCGATTCTGCAGATCTACCTCATTTCTGATCTCGTCTCTGCCGCCACCATCCCGGTGCTTGTCATTGGCTTGTCTGATCGCTGCTACTGGTGGCGCGGCTTTGAGGTGGTTGTCGGCGGGTTGGGCGGCATCTTTACTGTCTTCATCTTCGGCGCGATCTACTACAAGGACGCCCACAGGGGCGCTCAGCTGATGCTGCTCGAGGAGGGACTGTACCAGGAGGGCTGGGCTGCGTTCGGTGCCTTCGTGGCCGCCCCCGTCGGCGGTCTCTTGTGGGGCTTCGGAGCCCTTGCGCTTAGACTCTCGGTGCAGTGGGTTCAGGCCAAGAGAAAGGGTGTAAGATTCGATGCCCTGGATCGCCCCGTTATGGTGGAGGGAGACGGCGAGACGGTCCAATATATCGCTGGTGGAGACTTGGAGACTATCTTGAGCACCGGACAGGAGTCTGGGGCCGGAAAGATTCCGGGCAAGTTCTTTTGAGCGTTGTCTGTATGCTTTGCACCCTATTGTCAGGGCACAAAGACCTTGGAGACGCATGGACGGCATGCTTGCCATGACCGTCCAGTCGTCCCATATCGGGGCGAGCGGAGGTATGGCTGGAGACAAAAAAAAGGGGGCTGGGACAACGAGGTGGAATGAGGCTCGAGATAATGAAGTAAAAGGATCAATGGGAAGAAGTGGGGTTGGTGAAATAGGAGGATGCTTTTTGGTTGAGCTTTCGATTCTCTTTGTCGTCACTTGACGACGGCTTTGCATCATGGGCAAGCGCAGCAACACTATGTGGTAACCTCACTCGTTCAATCAATACGACACATTCGTTCTCTGCCATCCGCTTTTGGACTTATTGTTCTGGAACATGCTGTACTTGTTTCTTGCCTGTTGCTTGGACTGATTGTTTTTGTCAACCTGTTGACAATGCTGCCTTTGATGTTCATGGCTTTAGTGGTGGTCTTCCCAACAACCTACATGTATGCTATAGGCACAGTGCAAGGGTCCATAATGCTGCAGCTTGACATTGCCTGCCGGGAACATGCGCCGCACCGTTTGGCGATCTGGGCGGTTCAGAGCGTGTTCACTCGCTCCTGAATTTGGTTTCTGAACGGTTGTGGTTCGTGCCAGGTACTTCCTTTCGAGATGGGCTAAATTTTGAACGAAGTCACTCGTTCGAAGTACCTTTCCGAGTCCTGAATGGCTTCTGAACTTTCCTGAACTCCAAATACCCACTTTGGGATGATGCACGCTTTGTGGTTGGTCCAAAATTTCTTGGCTCTGAAATGGTTCGTGCAATTTTTCAGGATCGCAAAGGGTTGATGAATGGATTTGGCTGGAAGAATTTCAGGATCCTGAAAAAGTGGCCAAAGCCTTCTGAATTCAATGCCAAGGAGGACTAATTCGGAAAACCACACCAGGGTGGCCGCATCCCCGAAGTACCAAAATCGATTCAGAAGCCCAACTTCAGGAGCTGCTGAACACGCTCTGAATGGACCGCTGTTCCTGACCGACCAAAAATCCAAAATCCCATATGCCGGAATTCGCTAGCAGTGAGCGGAGCCAACAAGTGGACATCCAATTTCATCGTGAACAACTCTGCAAAGGCCCGTACGTATAACAATCAATGTTCACGTGGCACCTCTCAAAGGACTATAAACTAACGGATCTTTCCTCGGTCGACGGCAGTCCCTGAAAGCAAAGAAAGTCAACATCGAGAAGAATGATGGACAGGACAGAAGCATCGATGTCTTGCATCATTCCGAGTCGCCGAATCTTTAGCGCAGCTACATAGTGGACCGAGCTTTCCGGAGGGTCAAGATGCACACGAGGCTCGGCAGGGGAAGGGGAGATGGTCGGACAATTCGGCAGCCCGTCCATCCTGGCCGCCAGTCGATTTTCGGACAACAACCCATCCTGTCGGGCTCTGACGACTGCGGCACTTGACTGCCGGTCTGTTGACTCTTCTTGGCACTCGCCAAACATCACGAACCAAACAAACCGGGCAACCGGGCAGGGGACATCGGGTGATCGCTAGATCGGTGGTGTTACGTGCCTCCTGTTGTCTAGACAGGGGACATAAATTGTGCATTTGGAACGTTGTCCACGGATTTTTCCATTCGATGTTGAGACCAACAGAAGCTCACGATATGGCGGCTTCAGCTTCTTGTCTATCTATCTCCGTCATCACCGGCGGAGCTGCTTGAGCGCAGCAGCGCTGAACTGGACTGCCCGACGGTGTGCTTCCTCCCTTCTCCTTTTACATTATCATCCATGACGAAAGAATCGCTTCTTCTTCGCTTGCGAGAGTTCCACCTTGCAAATAACTCTTGGCCTATTTTCGCCTCTGGAAGTCCTGGCGGGTTCGTGGACACATCAAATTAAAACGCTCCAACGCCTAGCAACGATGGAGACGATCCGGTCATTAAACCCAAAGACCCCCTTCTCCTCCCCGTCCCCGTCTGTCTTGGTCCTCTGGGTGCTTGTGAGCAGTGCGTATGTTGACCTGTTTCTTCCCTCCGGCCACCGCAGTGTTCCGTGTTCTCGCAGTGTCTGGTTAATCCGTTGCAGAGAAGCCATCCCCGCATACTTGCAGGTCACGCCTCAGCAAGGCCCTTCTTTTACTCCTTTTGCCCAATCGAGTGATTAGGGAGCTAAACAAGCACAGCACCAGAGCTCATCCGTTCGCTCCATCTAAAATTTCGGGAAGCTGTGGATATCGGATTTGCCTCGTGGGCAGTCTGGATAGGTAGTTGGACTGCTTTGGCTCAAGGGAGGTCCTCCAGAAAGAAATCTCACTTCGAAACCGTTGCTTCCGCCCCAAGTCCTCCTTCAGTCTCCCGCACCGGACAACGGGGCCTTGCCTTCTCTCGCTACAACACATCACCACTTGCGGCTCTCAGACAACACATCTGCAAACGGACTAAACCCGGACTATCGTCACTCATTCGCTCTATCATCGGACTAAGACAGATAGCAAACTACGTCTCCAGAAGCTATTCGTCACTCTCTCTCTCTCGCCAGACAGCTGTCCATCTCTAACCAGCATACCGAACCTCGCTCACTGAATCTACAACTCGCGTTGCCGCCTCATCGTTCGTGTTTTGCCTATACACGTCCAAACATTCTTTTCCCGGATGCCGCATACCCCGACACGATATACCAAATCCGACGCTCTCTGATACAAATCATCAAGTCCACCACACCACTCCGACCAGCATCTTCAGCCTCGCACTCTCGGTTATCACTAGGCGCAGTCTATGACGGTGGTCCTGCGTTACTTCGATTTTTAGATCACATTGACGACGTGCGTCCGGACTCTCCCGTGACAACCGAAATTTTTACTCGCTCTTCTATCCACCCCATCGACAGTCCTGAAGCCGTTAGGGTTATCCTCCGATAGACCTTGCATCAGATATTACAGCACCATAGCTTACTAAGGATACTCAAAACTCTCTGGTGCTGGATACTCACAACACGCATATCAACTCGCTATCTTGTTCCGAAGGGGGCTGGGTCGCCCAGGACATAGGACTACTGGCTCGGGGCCAATACCAACTAAAGTCAATCCTTTCAAGATGGCACCAAGTCATCGAATATTCACCCTCCTCTTCCTCTTCCTCGGGATCCTTGTCCTTCCCTCTGCAGCTGACCAGACCAAAGAGAAAGCATATGTCTTAGGCACCGGTACAGATGGAAAAACACGACAGCTGGCTGTCGACCGCAGGCCGGCGCTCTATACCGGTGACTTTGGAGACTGTTTGGGCGGCGAAAGTCTGTTCAATGTCACCAAATTCGATGGCGCATATTTTGCCGACAACATGACCATTGTCCTTCATCTTGATGCAACAAGCAATATCAGAAACGAGTCAACGATGAGTGAGCAAAATCCCCACGCAGAAATAAGTTGGCTCTAGACATGCTAACTGATCTTATAGTGTATATCTCCGTCGATGCTTGTAAGGCTACAATGAGATCCCTCTGCCCGCCTTCTCACAACTGACAATCGTGCTGTAGATGGCGAAAACAGACTCTCCATGACTTTCAACCCATGCAACGCTATGATCAGCAGGTAAGATCATAGCCCGCCGAATCTTCTGCAAGCCTTTCCACTCATTCGTATTGTGCCAGTCTTTGCCCCCTTGTTGCCAACAAACCGGTGGGCGCTTATATCATGATCCCAGTCGCGCCCCGAGACGTAAGTGGCATCCCGGACATCGCCTATGCGATTCCCGACTTCGAAGGCACCCTGAAGCTACGGATATTTTCGAATTCAAGTATGACGGAAATAGGATGTTTCCAAGCGGTCATGAGGAACGGGAACAGCTTTGCCCACCCCGACGCAGTCGCTTCCGCTCTAGGCGCAACCACGATTTTAGCCATCATCGCCTCATTTGCGACAGCCGCTTATGGCGTCAGTGTAACTCACATGAGGATGCACTACGCCCACTCCTTCTCCGTCTTCATCATCTTGGAAACCTTCCAGGCCATTTTCTTTTCGGGCGCCCTCTCTCTCGACTGGCCCTCCGTCCTAACAGCATGGTGGAGCAACTTTGCTTGGTCTGCTGGCATGATCTACACCAAGAAATTCGTGAACTCAGTCGATTCATTTGTTGGATTCCAAGGCAACTCCAGTCAAGTTGGAGGCGCTGGTCCCGCGGTTCTCGATACTAACGGGGGCTTGATCTCCCAGATTTACGGAAAGGCTGCTGAGAAGGCGGCGGAGACGCTCACGAAGAGGCATGCTTACAATGCCAGCAACCCTTACGATTACAACTGGGCTGGGGACCCTGTTCAACTTGGCTTGCCTATCCCAGGCTCTTGGTTTGGATTCTCTGGAACGCTCTCCATGGTCAAAATCCCCGCCGCTGATGCCGTTCTTGTCGGACTCACCTGGATCGTGATCGCGATTGTCTTGGCGGGCGTTGCTGTTGTAGCTCTCAAGGGGTTCCTCGAGCTCCTTGCGCTCACAAAGATGATGAATGCGGACAGCCTGCCCTACTTCCGCAGCCACTGGATTGGATTCACGGTCTTGGCCCTGCAGCGAACTTTTCTCGTGTCCTTCTTTGCCGTCATGACTCTCACGATGTACCAGTTCACATACGGCGGCTCAGGGGATGCAACTGTCATTGCTGGAGTATCTTTCGCGGTTTTCCTCATCGGCGTTACCGTTCTGGTTGCTCTGGGAATCCACTCCCGCACCAAGTCCGGGAGATTTGAGTGTGGAACCGAAGAGCTTATCTTCCACCGAGGAAAGATGCTTGGCTGTCTCCCCGGTCTGACTCCGACCTGGGCAAGAACTGTGAAAAAGAACGAGCTGGAGGTTCAGCCAGTATTTACAATCTCGCTCTTCCGCATTCGCCACGTCGACGATGACCTCACCCGCCCGACCGTTCACGAAGACCAAGCTTTCGTCAAGAGCTGGGGCTGGATGACCGCGAGATATAGGCGCACAAGATGGTGGTTTACCGCCTTTTACGTTCCTTACCTGTTCGTTCGGGCAGCCTTCATCGGAGGCGGAGCGCAAAACGTTTATGCACAGATCTACGGCCTGCTCGTCCTTGACATCATTTCGTTCGCCATCATGGTCATCATTAACCCCTTCGAAGGAGCTCGCAACACCGCCATGGGTATCTGGATTCTCAGCATCTGCAAGATCTTCACCACGGGCCTCTCCATCGCCTTCCTCCCGGAGTTCGCACTGAACAGGATCATTGTCACTGCGTTTGGCATCATCATCATTGTCATCCAAGGCTTCACGGTCGTCGCTTTGTTGATCCTCGTCGGTCTCGGTATCATCTCGACCTGGATGTCGCTCTCACGAAACAAGGAGAGATTCTTCGACGAGCTGGAATGGGCCCGCGTCCGATTCTTTGAGAACATGGAGAGGAGAGCGCCAGACATGCCGCAGCCGAAGAAGTCAGAGAAGGAGCAGGAACCAGCAGGGCCTGTAGAACCGTCGTTCGAAGTGGCCCAAGTATGGCGCATGTCCAAGATCGTGGACGAGGAAGCAGACATGGCAGGATTCCAGGACCAGTCCTACAAGGACATCCGGATCTCAACATCAGACGAGGATGCAAGCATCGGCGAATCGGAAGACACCCTCCCCGTCCTGGAGGAGGTTCCCGAGAGTCCAATCGACAAAAACGGCAGCACCACCTCGCTCGACATACCCGCACCTCCAGGGGCCGCGCTCCACGCGCCGTCCTCCTCTCACCCAGGTAGCCGCTCGGTCAGCGCCGCCTCGACAGCTCGGTACAGCACAAACAGCGTGCCGCGCAACTCTCGCAATTCCTACCGCAACTCGCGCGCGTCGCTCCACGGGCACCACCTGGACGCCAGGTTCACCGACCGTCCGGATAGCTACCTGTCCCACAGTAACAACCGGCTGAGCAGCTACAGCGGCGGCCTGAACCGCAGCAGCAGCTTGAGGCCGGTTAGCAGCGTTCCATCCAGGGCTTCCACTTTCTCGCCGGCGACGGGTTTGTCGACGCCGAGCAAGGATACGCTGGCCAAGTACGCGGAGCAGAGGAGATACTCGACTCCGCAGCCGTCGGCAGAGATCTGGACTAATAAGAGCAATGCTGCTAGCAAGAGGCACAGTGTCCATCCATGTTGATGATTTTTTAATTTTTTTTTGGCTTTTTGATGGTTAGAACGGTACGGATGGATGGTTTGAAGGGTCATGACTGTCCTTTATATGGATGTGTGTATGTGACGTACTACCATACCATACAATCACCATTTGATGCTGAGCACATCAGGAGGTTCTCTTATTGACCTTTTCTTTTTCGATATCTTCTTTTTGCATAGCTTGCACTTGCATAAGGGAGGACGGCGTTGTGGGTGGCAGGCTAGCATATTTCTTACACTCGTTCAGTAACTTTTAACGACCATTGGATACATACCTAAAGAGCAGGGCAAGCAGGACATAGATGTTTTAAGGTATCAAACGAAGACAGAGAAGAACTTTTTTTTTTGAAGATCATAGACTTGATGGGTTAAGATATCTCCACATACATACAGTATCTACTTTTTAGTGTAATAGCCAATATCTTTTGGTGTTCTTCTGATTCAGATAGAGAAGAGAAGGGGGATGTGGTGAAGGCTGTAATGAAAGGAAGGTTCATGTTCATGCCTGCTCTGAGCGCAATACTTGGCTTCCCATGGTTTTGGAGAATTGTAGCGGTTCCGGTGTGATACTAGACTGAACCGTGAGTGAAACAATGAACGAAGGAAGAAAGTGGTCCCTGAAATAAAACGATCAAGATCTTGTGCATGCATGCGGTACCTACCCCGAACGCCCTGCCCCAAATTCGGTCCACGTTGAAGGCATTCCCCTTGTCATGGCGCTGGCGGACCACTACATAACTAGGCTATGTTCCAAAAGGATACAAGTAACCGAAGCTGGCAATTCGGTTGCTTAAGTGGTCTTATATAGTTGTGATGGCAGTCAGAGGCACAACTGCAAGGCTGCCATCACACCCCTCCTTGCCATCCCCACATTATCACCCCTGTTTGGTTCGGCTATCAGATGGAGGGGTTTCAGCGGATAAGCTCCATGGGGTAGTGGTCTAAGTGCCCATTAACAGTTTGTAGTGAAGAGGGGCAAATAACTTTCAACGGTGAGAGGGTCTTTGAAACTAATCGTCTCCTAGGGAGTCTAGAGACCAGAAACACTTGTTCTGTGTGATGAAATTTATTTATTAAAAATATGTTAATCTATTGGGCCTAAGTTACCGGAGACAATTTACGGTGCAAGGCAGATCTAGATGTACCGATCAGCGGCCCCTAGCCAAGAGCTGTCGAACGGAACCGCTGCGCGGCTTGGTAACTGCTTTATAAGTGATTTGTTGGAACGTAGTCAGATCAGTCTAATGCATCTCCGTTCAGACGGTACCTGAAAGCGGTGAGATTTGTCGATCTTGTTTAGCTATAGCATAGCATAGTGGTAACTGGCTGAAACTAGTGTAGAGTCAAAGGTATACTGCAGAGACCACATACGTGGATAGACGTGGATAGCCCAAGTTGTTAGCGGCAGAAAGAATAGTACCCCGTGATTGCGTCACGAACGTCTGTTCAACCGCCCGCCGGTTTATATATACCCGAGACTGAGTGAGCAAAGGCTAAATAAACTAGGGTGAGTTCGGTGAAGAATTGATCCCTCTTTTTAAGAGCTCAATCCGAACTGTTCATTCGTATGTCACTTTCTCACCTGTGATTCTTCTGTTTCTCTTACTTCTTGCCCTCCCCTCCTCCTCTTTCTTGCCTCAACTCCAACCAACCAACAATCAACACCCTACGACATCTTCTCTTACCTCTCAACATCGAGCAGCCACCCTTACACAAAATACCCAGATGCCGAAACCACCACAAGAAGGAAACCCGGAAAAGCAAGACACAATGGCAGAAAACAACACGAACCCAACAGCCAACCTCCCTCCCCTCCTTGACCTAACCATTGACAACATCACGCCCAACACGATCCGGATCAACTCGCAGGCGTCCGATGCGCGGCTCAAGTACCTGATGGCACGGCTGGTCACACACCTGCACGACTTTGCGCGCGAGACCCGGTTGAGCTCGGACGAGTGGATGGCTGCTCTCCAGTTCCTGATTAGCTGTGGCAAGATATGTAGCGATGTGAGGAATGTAAGTTTTTTGCTGTTCCGTTTCTCTCGAATTTACTGCTGTTTTTTTATTATGACTACTACAAAGGTTATGAAAATTGGAAGGGGTTCCTATGGAGTTCGTTTTCCACATCTGGCAGAAGGGAGAGTACCTAGTGTGTTGCGAAGGGGAAGAGAGAGGGAGGAGTATCGTGAACCCAGGAGGCCGAAGAGATATCTTATGAGCTACGGGTCTGTCCCAATGCCAAATCAAACAGACGTATGATGCTAATGATTTAAATAACCAGGAATTCATCCTCCTCTCCGACGTCCTCGGCCTCTCCCTCCTCGTCGACAACATCAACCACCCGACGCCCCCAGGAGGCACCGAAGGTTCTGTTCTTGGCCCCTTCCACACGCATGACGCCCCCGTCCTGCCCAACGGCAGCAGCATGACCTCGGACCCCGAGGGCGAGCCGATGCTAGCCGTCTGCACGGTCAAGGACCTCAAGGGCAACCCGCTTCCCGGCGTGACCATCGACATCTGGGAGACGGACAGCTCGGGCCACTACGATGTGCAGCACGCCGACCGGGACGCTCCGAGCGAGCGGTGTGTCATGAAGAGCGATGGCGAGGGCAGGTTTTGGTTCAAGGGCATCAAGCCCGTCAGCTACCCGATCCCGCACGACGGGCCAGTGGGCAAGTTGCTGGAGAGGCTGAATCGTCACCCGTGGAGGCCGGCGCATGTGCATTTCAAGTTTGAAAAGGACGGGTGGGATCCGCTTGTTACGTAAGTATATTTTCTTCGTGTTGCCTGTCTTCCAACACAACCTTCCTTTTGCTAATGCCGATATCTTGGTCCAGCGCTCTATATCTGAAGGGTGACCCTTATGAATCATCGGACGCTGTCTTTGGGGTCAAAAAGAGCTTGGTAGTCGAACTAGGGCAGGTGGACAAGGCCACAGCAGAGGAATACGGCGTGAAGGAGGGGAGCTGGCTGTTGAAACACGATTTCGTGTTGTCCACCCAGCAGGAGACTGAGGGACTAAGAGACCGGCTGGCTGTTGAAGAGCTGGAGAAGCTGGGCTTGAGAATGAAGCTGGTAGACCACTTGCCTGTCCCCGAGCTCGACTAAAATTAGCAATCAAAGCCTTGATGAGCCCTTTCCTATCAGTGCTTCTCGTCCATATTGGTGGACTTCACCAGCTTCACTACCGTCTCTAGGTAGCCAGCAGTGCCACCGTATCGATTCACAATGACCCCAACATCAATGGCCGATATGTCGCCGTGCCGCTTGCGCCCAACTATCGCCGTATTGCGCGTACTAGGGATTCTCAGCATCTCTTGCTCGGCCACCCAACCGCAATCCGTGGTGATCTGGGTAACCCATGAGCAGAGGGAAGAGTACGCCGAGTGGGCCTTTTTCTTGTCTTTGGGTACTGGTGCACGAAACCTCGCTCCTGTCAGGTCGTGACTGCAGCAAGGGATCATGATAAAGGGACAATCTGATATGGCGGCCAAAATGGGTGTCCAGGGCGTCAGCTCATCAGCATGATTGGAGATGATGAAGGTGCCCTTGGGAAACCGGCCGTCATGGACGAGGCCTTCCCGGAAATCCTCACTTGAGATCTCCGCAATTCCATCCCTGCTCACAGGCGGCGGTAGCAAGACTAGCTGCTGTAAGGATTCCTGAACGCCTGTAGGGGTTTCTAAACGGGTGGTGTACGTCGCCCATGATCTGCGTGACCTGGCGTCGAAGCCCCAGCCCTTGAATCCTTCCAGATTCAATATATAAACCAAGAGGCCGTTACCACAGCCGATATCAACGAACCCAGGGAAAGGACATTGTTTGTACATGTCGGACCACAGCTCGATGAGAAAGGCAGCGATGCAGAGGTCTTCAAAGACATGCTTGGTAGGATCGGTAGTTTCGGCCCATGCCTCTATCAGAGTGCGGGCATATTTCTGCTTTAGAGCCGTATATGTGTTTTGCACACGGGCCTGCGGGACTAGGAGATCATGGTGCACCCGTTTCTGATAACCGTCAGCTCTGCCCTGTCCATGTTTATATAAGGCTTGAAGCAAGTGAAGGGCGGTTCTCGTGAGTTTGTCGGGACGCTCGCCCCCTTCGAAATAGAGATAAGAGAGAGATACAGATCCGCGCATCTCTGTGGGAGACCACTCGTGATGAAAGGCTATACCCCGGACTGTAGGGTGATAGAACGGCATCTCGGCCTCTGAGGAGACGTGAGGGAGATAGACAACCAGATGCCTCTGCAGTCCGCCCTCGGAATCACTACCCCCACTCTGATAAATGAGACATGTCTGATCCATAGGTTCGTCCCTCATGGTGCTCCGAGGAATAAGCCGGCGGATCATATATCGGCTAAGCCCAAAGCCGTCGAAAGATGGGATGCCGGGTACGTCTCCCAGGTCAGACGGAGGGGTCTCCTTCTTCTTTGAGTCATGGAGAATATCAGCACGGAAGAGCCAGGATGAGTTGATGTTTGGGTTCTTGATCAAGTTGAGCATGACATCTTGAAAAATGACTGGGCTGAAGGTGCACTCATGACGAAAGAGAGGTCGCCAGTCTAGTTCCGCATCGCCAGTAGTCTCCTGCCGAACCACCGGGACGGCATCGGCTGCCAGCTCTTCCGGGGCATAACGAGGCATATGTACTTGTCGGTAGGGTCCGAAAGATTGGCCCGGAGGATGTTGGGTTGGGGTTCTTGCCAGTGACGGTCGGGTGTGACTGGAGTGATGGGTCCAGAATGGGCTGGAGAAGAAAGGCGCGGAGAAGCCGATGGAGGCAAAAAATGATTTTGACAGGCGGTCTCGTCAAGGCGATAGTGTACAGGCGACTGGGGTCCCCCGCAGATTCCCCGTCCGCCACCTGGAATCTACGCCCAACAGGGGGAATCTGCCCTACAACTGACGTATGTATTTCCGTCGACACAGCCCGGCCCGGGGCCCTTTCAGCCTCACATTTTGGCGAAGCTGTCACAATTCCCCGCGCGTAGGTTGGCTGGCATGACTGGTTGGTACCTCTAGTTGATAAGAGGAGCCGGAAAATGCGTGTTGGTCGTTTGATCCCTAGAATTCAGGGCGGTCGCGATGGGCTGCCGCTGGGCCTACCTACCTACCGACGCTACAATGTGTCCTTGTTGCACAACATGACCAACCCGTCACCGAACCTGCACCGGATCGAGTTATCAGGGAGTCTCGCGTGACGCGATGCTCGTGGCCGGGGTGGGGTGACTTGGCACGTACGCCCGGCCTACCACTATCAATCGTATCAATCGTAACCTGCTGCGACGCAATGGACACTTGATTCATCTGATGGAAATCACCTTCAAGTTCTCCCAGTGACGAGGGGAGAGTTGCACCTTCGAACGGGCTTTGCATTTCAGAATGAGTTCAGCAGTAGCGGCCAGTGAGGGTGAGTTAGCGGCAGGGGCACCTCCAGGCCTTGTCGTCCTAGAATGTGCTGGCAAACGTGCCAAGTCCAGTGCGATCCAAAAAGCAGTGTGCAAACGTCAAGTCCGTAAATGGAACAACCAACTTCATGCCATGCAAGGGGCCAGATGCGGCACAGATGTTCTCTCCAGGTAGAGCCTTAGCAATATTGGAAGTCTGTGCCTCACATGACCGATGGTTAGTCACCTCCGAAGAACCTGGACCACTCGTGGCCCGCCTTACCCAGCGGACAATAATTGATGCCTGGTTGCCTGAGCTTTGACCGGGAGGGCCCCGACGCCCCACTATTTCCACTATCTCTTCCCCTCAACCTCTTCCCTTTCCATCTCTCTCTTCCAATTCCCCGTTTCTCCATCAACAACTCCAGCATCCATTCACCGCCCGCATTCATCTATCATTTAAAAGTAGCCTCCGCCGGCACTTTTTTGACCAAGCAACTTCGAGACAAGCTCCCAACAACCTCTCAACCTACCAACACCTCTCAGCGAGACACTACCACAGTCGTCGGTCGCTGCATTCCCGCCCATCAACAGAACCCTTTCCCCAGGTACCCCGCGAACTTCGAGTTTATGTCAATCGAAAATCTCAAGACCTACGGTACGTGGCATTCCATCGTACCTCATCGTGCCCAGGCGCGCCCACGGCCTCCCTCCCCTCTCTGCATCGGCCACCCGACGGCGCGACCACAGCTCAGTGATGTGATGCTCCACGTCATGTCTGCCATGGCCAATGTGGACCCCCCATTCCTCCCTCCACACCGCGACTCGAACCTATCCCCCCTTTATTCGTATACCAAGGCGCAGCTATACTAACGCGACATACTTTAGACCCCTTCGCCGAAGCCGACGAGGAGGACTCCGGACAGACCAAACAAACTCAGGAGTACATCCATATCCGCATTCAGCGTACGTGTCACCTCGCCGCCATCCCACATGGCATGTGTCGTCGCCCTACACCACATGCTAACACTATCATGCAGAGCGCAATGGACGCAAGACCTTGACTACCGTCCAGGGTATTCCCAAGAAGTTTGATGCCAAGAAGATCCTAAAGGTCGTCAAGAAGGAATTTGGTATGCGCTTGATCCCTCCATCTCCATCTTCGTATCGGACCATCACTAACCCTGCTTGCAGCCTGCAATGGCACCATCATTGGCGATGAGGACTCCAAGATGGGCGACGTGATTCAGCTCCAGGGCGATCAGCGTGCCAAGATCAAGGATTTCCTTACCAACAAGGACGAGGGCCTCGGTCTCGATGCGAAGACCATCAAGGTCCACGGTTTCTAAAGCCTCACATGCTCGTCGCGCCGACACCGCCGACAGATACGCGGGTCAGGGAGCCGCCCATGTGGCAGGGGTCGCTGGCGATAATACCGCCCAGTGACGCATTTCGCCTACGGGCCCTCTTATGGCGCATAGACATGATACCCCAGGATGGTTAACCGGCTTTATTTTGCTTTGGTTGGTAGACTGATGACAGTTGGAGGACTTATACTTAGCGAGGCGGATCTTTTATTAGGGGTCGTCATACGCAGGAAGCGTCCAACTGAATGAAATGCAAGGCTGCACATTGCCTGCGCGTCATCATGACATGCCGCAGCGCTGGCGGTCTTTTGAAAGTTCAATAATACTTCATGATACCTCTTACAGTCGATGACTTGTTCGTAATTCCTTTGTGATATCATTCCTGAAATGGATGATGCTTTTCTCCTTGCTGAAGTCCTGAGTCCAAACGCCGGTACAATGCTTGCTACTGCGTCTTTGACTGTATGTATCCCAAACCCAATAAGAGAACCAATAATATCAAGGAGACCTCGCCTAGTAGTCCCTAGCAACAGTCCCGTAGTCCATAATCTTCAAAGCAACTTTTACCAACTCTTGCCAAACCTTGGTAACAAAGGTCCACAGGGGAATCTGTGGGTAGTCGGTCCGGTTCGAGTGTACCTGGGCCAGCAACGCCACCATACTGATGAAGCTGGCCACGGAAAACGCCCGGATCGACATGCTCGTCTCCTTGCGGATGTTGATCTTGCGCTGCGTGATATGATATAACAGAGTCAGCATTGCCGAGATGCCTACCCATGCCGGCAGGAGCAGCCGCGGGTCTTGCGAGCCGGCCGTCAAATACAGAATTTGGGACGTCAGGTAGGCGTTTAGCGTCGTTATGGTCAGGAGCCGGACGATGGTCGCTTGCGGGGTGTAGTTTACGAGCCTAGAGGTTGGGGAGGGGAGGGGTTAGTTTCTGGTCCAAGTTGGCTAAAGCGGGAAGGAAGGGAGGAAGAGGTAAGAAGGGGAGATGGTTTAGATGTATGAGGTGCTTACCATCGCGACATGAGACTATCTGTGAAGAAGAAGGAGAGGTATGCTGATGCGCCGCACTAATTTGTAGAGTAAGAGTTAGCTGTCTGGTTTCCTTGAATGCAGCGATTCGGTCCAATAATTCCCTTGTGCTGGTTCGTGACGGAGTATACTCACCCATACGATAGCCAACAACGTCTCCGTCAACCGCAGCCTCGCCTCAAACGACAGATCAGAGAAGCCTGTCGCAGAAGCCCCTGGGTTGTAGGAGTTATAGTTCCCGTTGGCGTTCCCTCCAGACGTACTACTACTACCACCACCACCGGTAGCACCAGCGCCAGCGCCAGACGCCAAGAAATGCGGGCTTCCCATCATCATGGCACCACCATCACTACCGATACCGCACCCCATATCTCCTCCACCCCCAGCCGTTCCTGTTGATGATGTCCCACCACCACCACCACTCCTGCCTACACCAGCTGCCACCACCCTCGCAAAAATGTGCTGCCAAGTCGTTGGACTGCCGCCGAAAACGATCAGGTGAAGCATGGCCAGCAGCCGGAGCGCACTCGGAAGACCCCACCAGATGGCTGGGAAGGTGGAAGACTGGCGACAGAGCCAGAGGAGGAAGTGCCACTTCTTGGGCACGCCTAGGGCGACGGCGACGCGGGGTTGGAGGAGGGACGAGTGGGCTGTCGCTGTCATATTCGGAATAGGAGATTTATCGGCGTTCTTGTTGTTGTTGTTGTTGTGGTTGGTACTGTCGTGGTTCATATCGATCGTCGTGATCGGTGTCGCTGCTCCCACGGTCGCCGTTGTGGGAGTCGCTGCTGTTGGTTTGGGTGTTGATGTGTGAGAGACATTGTTGGTGCTGGCATGGACATTGGCGCTGTTGGCTTCGATGGTGTTGGGGTGGTGACTATGGTCGAGGAGATGGTAGGGCGGGGGTGGCGGAGGAGGAGGAGGAGGAGCAGCAGGAGGCGTTGGCGCGCCTGGTATTTGTTGATGTTGTTGTTGGAGCTGGGAGGGCAGACGGCGGACGAGCCCGTTGCCGTTCGTTGTCGCTGGCGCCGTGGCGGCCGCGTGTATGTGTGTGTTGGCGCTGTCGTTGCTTCTGCTCTTGGGTCGGTCGGCCGTCGTCGTGGGATCAAAGTTGGAGGTACTGTGAGCCGCTCCCCGCTGCTGTGCGGACGACTTTGGTCTGTTGCGCATGAAGATATTATCGTCTGCCCATACAGTAAAATCCAGGAACCTTCGTTGAACTGCTTTTCGAGACTAGGGGGTCGTGGACTGGTGCGCGAATGGGCTCGAAATAGGAGTTGAAAACCTGGTCTGTAGCTTTGGCGGGACGGTCGATTGGTTTAGTTCGCACAAGGTAACTGTCGTTTGGGATGGAGATACAAGGTGAGGTCGATATGTGGTGTTAAAGTCGAAACAGGATACCAAAACCAAGTGGCTTTCACAACGTGTAAACCACGAACAACGGGAAGCGGGCGATCCCTGCGGTCATTAATCGACGTAGCATGGCAGCTCCTCCTCATAGCAGCTCCTCCATCCGCAATCCTTCAGGCCTAGACCCTTTCATCGTCGTCGTGCTGGGGTCTCCCCAGCGGAGGACGCCGATTAGATGGCGAACAATCATTGGTCCGCGCATTTGGAGAGCTTTCTTGGAGAGCGGCACGGGCGGGGTGGTGGATGGTTCGCAGGAGCGGGCAGCGGGCGTGCTGTGCTGGGGGGTTTATGCCGGCGTCTCAATTCTCCAATAATGGCCCGCCGAACCGAGATCTGTCGTGGGAAATTTTGAAGCGGCTCCGACCCCGTTCGACCACGTCCGCAGCGGCACGTACAGGTACCTCGACCGCCGTCAGTTGTGGATGCTGTAGGTACGTTTTGTTGGCGGGTTTCCATTTTCCCAGCGCTTTCCAAGTCCGACCCGCGCGCGCAAGAAGCTGCCCGAACGGGGGAATCCGCACACACAAGCACGGATCCCGGATCTCGTCTCGTTCCCAAGTCCCGCTTCGAGCTCCGTCCTCCGAACCGCGCGCCGCCGACCCACGCTCCAATACCGACCGGCTGGAACTGACCATTGGATCATCCCAATAGTTTGGAACGAACGACAGCAGCGGTCTTCCCCCAGCACCAGACACATTCTACGGCTTGACGTCACCCGGAAAGTCTTTTTTCGTGCGCATATACCATATCTCGAACCCTACCGAAGGACAGGTCGCTACGAAGCCAAGGTCGCCCGTGAAGGAAAGAAGAACAAATTCAAGATGCTGGCGGCAACAAAGCTGGGCTTGCGCGCTCGCGCGCCGGGCTCGCTGACGACGACGATGACGACAACATACTCGCCAGTGATGGCCGTGGGCCGGGCTCTCTTCTCTACTTCGGAGAACAGGGCAGCCGCCAACAGAAGAACCCAATCGCGTGTTCGCCAGATGGCCGGTCATGTGGCGAGGAATAACAAGGCCCAACCATCGCCGTCGTTGGAGAATGCCAAGCAGGACCCTTCCAAGGCGCCCGCCATTGTTCTCCCAGGTATTTATTTCTCCATTCCTGATGCGTTCCTACATAACATTCACGACAAAGATGAGAGCGCCATGGAGGCAAACGGAAAGGGGCCACTTAACTAACCCCCCATGAAAAAACAAAACAGAAACCTTCGTCGTCCCTCCCCTCTCGCGCTTCCCGAAACAGTTCAAGCCGCTCATGTCCTACCTCTGGAGCATTGTCAGGGTCAAGGTGGTAGATTTTATGCTTTCCAGACAATACCGGTTCCAGTCGCAGCCTAGCTTGCGGCAGAAGCCGCTGGTCTCGCTCAAGAAGGGGCCTTTGATCTCGCACACCAAGGCGCTGCACCGGCTGATGAACGAGGCCATCGCCTCGGGCAACGTGGACCTGCTGGAGAGGATCGTCGACCCGAACCTGTACATGCCGCTGGCCATCAACATCCACCAGCGGCCGCGGGGCCACACGTGCACGTGGGAGCTCGTGCGCTACAACAGGGAGCCCCGCGTGGTCTCGCTCAAGATCTTCCCCATGGCCGGGTTCGCGACCAAGCTGCTGTGGCAAGTCACGGTCTCGATCGCCAGCCGGCAGCGCGTGGTCGAGAAGGACGAGAGGAAGCGGGTCGTGCCCGGCAGCGAGAAGGAGCTGGACCTGGTCGAGAACGTGGTGATTGGCACCATGCTCGACAACGAGACGTGGACGATGTTGAGCGACTGGAAGATCATCGCGACCGTCCAGCCCATGACGCCGGAGAAGTGGGAGCAGGAGCAGGAGACGGTCAAGTTGCTGTCTCAGGTTCAGGTTAATAAGTAAGAAGAGAGAGAGAGAACAAACACATACTCCGGACCGGAGAGAGAGTGTCCCATGGTATGGTTGGTGTAAGAAAGAGGCGTTCGGTGTCGGT